ACAGCATTATCAAGATCAATTGATACAACTCAGGCAAAAAAATAGCACATAGGCTTGTGATTGATGAGATACATTTTTCAGTTCATCTTTTAAAGTGTTGAAACCCACACTTAGGCTGTATCGCTCTGCTCCCTTAGCACAACCAGAGGGGTCCCACTGGGGGCTCGGGAGGCTGAGGCCCTCTGTTGCGGGGCCACCTCCTACACTGGTCCTGCATTCAACAGATCCTCACGTAATCACTGGGTTAGCGGCCACTGTTCTGCCGGGAGGCCCTGAGGAGGGTGGCTCCAAGGTCCAGCTGTCAGCGACCCTGGGGACCAGGCTCCAGCTTGGTCTTAGCATTTCACACGGTTCTGTGACTTGGCATTCCATTTTTCAAACAGTATGGGTAGGTGTTGGGGCACCTCCCGATCCTGGATTCCTCTGTCCTCCAAGTCCTGCGGCAGCGAGCAGTCCCGTAACCACAGACCCTGTCTGCGTCAAGGTCACTGATCGCTGAAAGGCAGAGTAAGTCAGCACGATGAACTGTGCCAAGGACACAGAAGCAAGACTTCCACAGCAGGGGTATTTTTGGGGGCAGTGGGGAGGCTGATGTCGACTGTAAATGTGAGGATTCATCATGGAGCAGACATGTGACAGTGGTCTCCCCAGCACCCCCAGCCCCCTTCCTATCTGATTGACTACTAACAGATTCTTTGCCAGCACAATTTTTAAAAAACAGTAACTGGTTCATGTCATACCTCTTCTTAAAATCCCTACAGCAGTTTGCTGTTACTTCTTAATTAAACACAACCAAAACCCTTAGCGTGTGGCCTACGAAGCTCTCATGCTCGGAGCGCGGATCTGCACTGGTGCTCCCACCATGGTGCCCTGACCAGGCTGGCCTCCCTTGCCCAGACTTGGCCACCTCTGTGCCTTTGCTTACGTGGGCCTGACCCATGAATGACCCCTTTGAACAGGCAGCTCCCAACCTCAATGTCAAAATGTCCAGGAAACCTCCCACATCCTCCTCCCACAGTCAAGGGCCCCAGAACTATAGCCCTCCCTGTGCAATGTTTTAAATTCCTTCTTAACATCCATCCCAGCTTGTAGTCACATTTTTTTTTTTTTTTTGTGATTTGGTGAATGGGATTCAAAGTTCCCCGAGGAGGAGACACATCACTCTACGCTCGCTGGGTACCAGGCCCAGAGCATGTGCTTTGTAACCAGCTTTGAGCACATGGCTGAGGCTGGAATCAAGCAGAGGAGACTTGGGGGAGGCCAGAGGGGAGATGGGATCCTGGGCCTTGGCCTAGAGCAGTAAGCAGCCCCTGAGGGCTTAGTGACACACTGACAAGCTTGTAAAAGGCAGTCATTTATTTTTACTGACGTGTCTTCTCACTGAAGAGGCCGGAGCGGAAGGGAGATGAAGCCCATGTGTGTTGCTCTGGGGAGAGTAAGTCTTCAGACCGACCACTCCTGTTCATTCTTCTGGCATGGCTGGAGGGTCAGACAGCATCTCAGAAACTTCTGGCAGAGAGCAACGAGTTCTTCATTTTTCTGGCAAGAATGCGTGCATCTCCCTTTAAGCCTGTAGCATTTCTCATCAAAAAATGCATTCCTGGCTGCACAAGAAAGGGAACCACCTGGGTTAATTCTCTTCTCAGGTTGACTGGCAGACAGGAGGAAAGAGGTTAAGGCTTCCTCTCAGTCCTTCCCCACATTCCATCCACATGCTCAAGACCAGACGGGGCAGCGTGCAGGAAGTGCCAGGGCCCCTTAGTCTATTCTGCACAGAACACCAAGTGGCCTTACCGTTTTATCAGCAGCAATCCTACAAGTAACCCACTTCAAGTTAGGGACAGACAGCACATCTTACCAGAACCGACATCTTAGAGTTGCCCGATTTGGGTATATGTCATGGAAGTGTCAGATTACACAAATTGCAATTAGTTTCAACATATAAAGGTGAATGATTCGCGTAGATGTGAAACAAAACCCAGGTGGGTTAGGCCAGCATGGGCACTAATCATGTCTGGCATCCACATGCAAGTTCCTAAGAACTCCAGTATCGCAAAGCTCAGCGAACAGTGGCCCCCACTGCAGGGGTCTGTGCTCTCTCTGCCCCCTGGTACTGTCCTGCCATCTCAGCCTGGAGGTGCTGGACCTCATCACTCTGACAGGCGTCCCCATATTGGACCCCGTTCATAGCAGTGGCTCAGAAAAGGAGAGCCTCCTGAAAGAGACAGGGCGCTTGTGCCTACGAGGCTTCTGATGCATCCTCACGGCCACGCACCTGAAGGTTAATGCAACTCCGTGTGCATGTATATATGGCCCATTAATACGTTGGTTTCATTTACTTATACTAGGTAATTTTATATTGCATACTCTTGCATTGTGTCGACTGATTGTATCGTTAGTATGAGTGATCTGGAAAGGAGAGCTCAGTCAGTTTCTAATGTGCCCATCAAAGCCACTGGAAGGCGCGGCTCACTGCGGGTCCCAGATCCCCATTTACTTGGGAGAGAATCTACTTGCACAGCCTTATTGCAGAGACGTGCACAGCTAGTGTGAAAATTCTGAGCCCACACAGGAGCGATACTGCTCCCATCTGGCACAAGTTTGGAACCACTGTGAGTTCTAGAAAGCCCTTCCTTCAGCTCTCTGGAACCTGGGATGAATCTGGATTGGGACTTTAATTTTGGGAGAGGCCCAACAAGAGCCATGGGAGGTTCCCAGGAGCAGGAGAGTGACAGGCGTTCTGACATAGGCGGCATACTTCCTCTCACTGTGGCCAGGCAGGGCTGGGGAAGTCCATGCGAGGCTCAGTTTCTGCACCTGTAAAATACACATAAAGGGGCCTTCGGAGACAAAAGAGGTGCTCTGGGTACCACTGAGTCGGCAGTAGGGCAGAGCTTCCCGTAAAGGCTCTGGCCTGGGGCACCATGTGCATTTCCTGAAGGGAAGCCTGTCGGTCCCAGTGCCAGCCTCACCACCGTGGTTCCGGGAGCACAGCTGACTGGCTCCCTTTCCCACAAAGGGCGTGAAGGGTGTCTCTGCACTGCACCCCTTCCTCTAACATCTCTTCCTGCCTCCCCTCCTGACCTGTCTGGGCCTCTATCACAACTCTCTTTTTAAAGCTCCATAGATGGCTACCCTACCTGTTAAATTTTCTTTTTCGAGTATTTGTTATTGTTAGTGAGCAGGAGACCGGGGACCAAAAAGCACCTTTCCTGGCATATCTTTCTTTCTTTAAGCCTGTGACCCTCGTCCTAGATGATAAGGAATGCAAGGCATTACAGAAAAGGCACAGAGAGACGTCACCTCCTGTAGCAGGTGTCCCCTGCAGCGTGCCTTTGCATTCTACAGGTGATGATGCTCAGGGACTCACCAAGAGGACCTCGTGCCAGACCACCACCTGGGATAAGCGTCCCTGCAGAGGCACTTGTTTACCTGGGGCCAGAAAGCAGAGAGCAGCAAAGAGAAAGAGGAGCAGCCTCATGACCGACCGGCAGGGTCTTGCGGTATTGGCACAGTGTCCCTGAGAAATAACAGCAAAACACCCACATTTATGCCTTTGTCCAGATCAAGTGGCATCTTGATCAGTGAGGCATGTGGGAAATGAGGATTTTTTTCATGCTCTGCTGGTTCCTCAGTGGGTGTCACCCAGTCTGTAGCTCAATGTTTTCCTGATTCTGGAACATTCCCAAGAAGGAAAATGGGGATGAAGAGACCTTAGGGTCGATGACAGAGGGTAGATACGAGTCAGCACAAATGAAGGATCTGGAAGCTGGCCGTTTGGGTTTCTACCCTATGTTCCTTGGTAGCTTCAGTTGACTTGTACGCCAAATGACCGTAATTGTATAATATTATATATCGGTTAAGAGCTGGTACACTGGAGTCCGATGGAGTACATTCCAGCTTCAACATTTATGAACTGTGGACACTGGACAAACTGCTTGACTGAAGCAGGTATTTCCTTATGTACTAAAAAAAAAATGTGAATCTTATCATGTACTCCACAAGGGAAGGTCTGAGAGACTCCAGGTCACTCAAAATGCCTACAGGCCGGAGGTCACCAGGCTCAGTCCTCTGTCCCCTAGAGTGTCACCTTGCTCCTGCATCCTTGCAAGTCACAGAAACAGATATACAAACATCAGCTCCTTTGTGTTTTACAGGCTGGGAAAGGTTCATTATGAATTGAAAAACTATTTGCAGAAAAGCTGGGCTCAAAGCTGGAGAGAAAGAAATGTGGATATAATGCTAGTGGTAATGACCGACAGACAGACTGATAATAAGCATTTGCATGTACTGCTCCTTAAATATCCTCTGCAGCCCATGTGGCTGTCACATCCTCATTTTAAGGATGAGGAAACAGGTTCAACAAATTAAGCAACCTGTCCAAGGTCATGTACTTACTAAATCAATCTGTCTGACTTCAGAGTCTACATTTTTTAGTCATCCTATTTTGCACTCCAGAAATGAGGAACAGAGCCTTGCCCCAGCCTAGGCGGCAGGATGGGATGGGTCTGGGGGCATGGGCTTGATATTCCCTCTGACACCAGCTACCTTTGGCTTTGGGCTGCTAGGCGGTAGTGCTGCAGGCTTGGGGATTCGGCACTGACTTGGTGAAGGGGTTGCTCGCCCTCCCTTTCTCCTCGGGACACTTGTGGACAGTGGCAGCCCAAGGCTCCTGGCTCTCCCAGGCCCCCATCCTCCTGAACATCCTTACGTTCAGAACACCTCTGCATCATCATGACTGCACCCTTACAACCACCCCGAGGGCTGGCAGAACTGTCCCCCCTCAGTAACCGGAGCTGGTCCTCATCTGATAGCAAGTGGAAGCTGGGTGAGGTGAGGGCAGGCGTGTTCCTCCTCGGGGTCAGCGCGTGGGATGTGTGGCCCCTGCTCTTCCAGCTCCTGGCTGGCGTCACTGCTGCTGCGCCCATAGAATCCCCAGAAGATGGGGCCTTATAGGGCTGAGGTTATTGTCTGTCATGTCAGCCCTTGATCCTGGCAAATGGACCGTAGAAATGTGCTTTCTTTATTGATTCACTTCACTGACCAAGGGCGCATCCCATTACTTCCAAATACAAGCCACCCTCTCCTCCTCTCAGAGGAAACCCATCCTCTGCTGGGAAGACTCTTCTGCAGGGATGGCCCCGAGCAGGACGGTGTTGGGCTTTTTCGTCGCCTTTTTCTTCATCTGGGCTCAGTTTCCATCAGGTAAATGGAAGCAGTGTGGTTTGACTGGGCAGATCGCATAGCTTGATAATTCTTCCTTGGACACCTCTGAGTTGAGAGGGAGCTCCCCACAGCCCTCATGGGAATTTCTTGAACTGGCAATGACGTTTTCTAGGAGCAAGCTGCTATTCCTTATATCTTTTTTTTTCTTGCTGGTTACCAGAAGTGCTAGCCTTCTGAAAGGGATGAAGATGCACTCTCTATGATCTGCTTTTCATTGACAGTGGGCGTGTGCAGTTGGCAGTCGTTTCATGCACTGACTTTAATATGCGAAATGTGCTTTGTTTTGAATACAGAGTGTCAGGCAGGACTCGAGGATGCCAAGACATTTCCTGGAGGTTAGTTAAATCCCTGGTGTGCAATTGCTCCTTTTACGACCTCTGGCCCACCAGCTATCTCTGACTCCGGGAGACAGGAAGCAGTGAGACAGCAGAGAAGACAGAATTGCCTGACATGCTAGTCCACTAACTCTGCCATCTTCTCTTCCCCTGTTCCCAGCATCCTGTTTGGATTTTCCATTTCCCAGAGAAATCTGTTATTGGACTGTACTTCTGGCCATAGAGATCTGGACCTGGTGGCTATTCTCATTAGCTCATGGTGCCAATTAAGCCCAAGTTACAGGATCAAGCTTGTACCAGCCAACAGCCGCCTCTGAGAACAGGCTTGTCCATCTCTCACACGCTCTGCTCTGCAACCCAGTAAGGTCCCAAATATATGCTGTTGGTCTAACAAGGATCAGGTACAGGGATGGTGAAGTCACCCCCATTTCACTGACCATTTTTGTGGACTTGTGTCACATAGGAAGAAAGCTTACTATAAACAGAACCCAAAGAAGTATCCCTGGGAAATTGCAAACAGAAGTTAAAAGCGTTTAGGCAGAATCACAGAGAGAGAAAGGTGAGGGTCGTGAGGCAGTGTATGAGCAACTTTATGTGGATGACGTCATTTGTCTCCCAAACATCCTATGAGGTAGGTATTTCTATAACCACCATTTTATGGGTGACGGAGCAGAGACATAGATGAAGCGTTAAGTAGTTTTCCCCGGGTACAGATAATAGTGGTAAGCTGGGCTTTCAATGCAGGACATCAGAGTCACAAGTTTTCCCACAGGCCTTCCAGGCAGGGCTGGAACACAGCCGTCCGCGCGCCATGCAGCAGGGGGCAGTCAGACCACGTGGCGCCCGGGAGGAGAGATGCTGTCAGAACCGACCATTTTGCCTGGCCGGGTGGGGGGTACCAACTGTGTACAGCCCTGCATATAAACACACCCAGAGAGCGTTGACAGAGGGATGGGCGGGAGACTGGGTGTTCTAATTCGGCAGCAAACGGGCCTCTAGAGATGATTCCCAGGCTCCCCCAAGGGTAAATCAGATTAGAAATACAGCACAATTGCCTATCTTAATCTGATTCTAAGCAGAAAATGCTGATTTCCCTGCCTCAGTAGAGCAAGGCTCTGGAAGTAGAAAAGACTGAGACATCGAAGCAGAGGTATTAGCGCATGCAGGTGAAGGCAGGTGCAGCGCACAGAAGGGAGGTGGGTGCTAATGCAGAGGACCCCAGGTGAGGACTCAGGTTGGAACTTGGGAGGAGAAAGTAGTAATGTCAGGAGCTACAAGTGAACAAGGAATTGAGGGGCTGGAGATGCAGCTACTGAACTGAGGGGCTTAGGAGCCACAGATGCAGGTTGGGTCAGACCAACGTGGTGGGGAAGGACGCCCATGGGTCTTTGCCCTAAGGGCCGTCAGGGACCCTGGGTGCAGTGTGCTGCCTGCAGATGGGCATCTTCAGGCACACGATAGCACCTCTCCGCCCATCAAAGGTAGAATCAAAGTCTCCAGGGCATGTGTTCCAGGCCGACTGGAATTCTTGTCCCAAGCTGTGAGGAGGGCACAATGCCAAGGAGACAAGGAAGGTGGGACAGACCTGGCTTTCTGGAGCAGAGCCCGGAGAAGTGATTTGAGCTTCATGAACTCAAAGGATGGCTAGGGCGGCCGGCTGGGGCGCAGAGTAGGCAGCGGAGTGAAGGAGCTCTTAGCGTCCAGAAGTCAGGATGCAACGCCGTAGGAGCAGCGGCAGGCCCAACCGTGGTGGGCTGGGCAGGGCAGGGCACAGCCCCCAGCAGTCTGCGCAGGGCGAGCAGGTGCCGAGACCGGAGGCGGGGGCCTGAGCCGGCGGCAGGAGGCTCAGCGAGAGGCACAGCCTACGGGCCAAGCTGGGCGGGGTGGGGGGGTAATAGGGGAGAAAACAAGGTGCTACAGCCCAAATACTGCCCCCGGAGAACCAGGCCAGCAGACGAAGGGATCCTGGGGGGCAGGACACCTCCTGCCTGGCCCATGCAAGTCATCCTGAAGAATTGTTTGTGGTCGTATCAAAAGTTTCTGTTTAAAGTAACAAACAAAACAGCTAATTAGGTATTTGTGTTTGGCAAAATACCCTCATATCAATTATTCCATTTGACCATTAAACTAATTTTAAATGTGGGCAAGTATTTCTAGAATGTCCACCTGACAAATGAGAAACGACACAAGGTCGTTACCAGGTGTAAACCAGAGTGAACCTGAGTCTTTTAACTGGACCGTCACACCCAGGGGACTCCTGGCCCTCCCGTTTCATGGAGTGACCGCTGGTGTCTGACAAAGCTCACTTCTGACCCAGGCAAGCTTGTCAGCCGTGGACAACCCACGGGACGGGGTCTACCTGGTGCTCAAAAGTAGCTCTCCCCAACCCCTTTGTGCAAAGAGCAGAGTTCTTTGAGAAACTGGGGCTGGTCCTTGAAAACACTCCTCGTGGTCATAAATGCACCCCTTCCCTCCTGTGGCCTTTGGACTCTTCCCTGCGTCCGGAGTCCCGGGAGAGGCACAGCAGCAGCGCTTTCTTGGCGTAGGTGATTTTGCGGCTTGTGCGCCCTGCCAGCTGGGCCGGGGCAAGTGCAGGAGGACCTGTGCTGAAGACGAGAAGGCGGTCGGGAGGTGCAGGCTCAGCCTCTTCTGCTGCGCGCCGCGGGTCCGATAAACCAGAGACTCCGGCCGGATGTTCAGGGGAGGCCAAGAGAAGTCACGTGGCTCAGCCAAGTCACCCAGTGAGTGAGCGTCCGGATGGCTCCCGTTGCTTTCTCTCTTTTTCTTTGCTTATTTTGCAAGATAATCCTTAGAAAACCAACCCATAAGGGGCTGGCGAATAGCTGCTCACTTAATCAGATACCACTCCCCTGTATTTGTGGAGCACCTGATAATTTACGAATCTCTCCCCTGTGCTTTTCTTATATGATGCAAGATCACCGCAGCAGGTAGTGCCCCCCAGTTACATATGAAGAAACAGACTCAAGGAAGCTGCTGTTTCTTGAAGGTCTCAGCTGGGAACCTGTAACGGTGCACACCACTGTCATGTCTGTGTGTCTTTGTACCGATCCTCACAAAATACATAAATAGAAATGGCATCTATCTTTGTCTATGTTAATGGAGCTGTTTTTATCCATACGATATCTTTGTATACCGGTATATGGCCATTCATCAGTTCTAACACTTGATGGTGTTTTTTTTTTTTAAATAACTCACATCGACTCAGTTAATGTCCACGGCACCAACTTTGCACTTCTTGACTTGCCAGAGAGTGACAATGTTAGAGATTCACTGACACTGTTCAGCATGGAATGCCTGGGTAACTTTTGCCTTATGAAATAACTTCTGCAGTGTCACACAGTACAGGTCAAAATGATCAGTCCTGTGAGCAGAAGCTCAAACTTGATCACTCGGTTCTGACATGTGAGACTGAACCACGTTTTGATCGCCATTCGGTGACACCACCGCATCGTCTGTCTTTTTGCGCATCCATCTCTCCTTCCCTGCTCAGCTCTGTGTAACTGGCGCTGTTCTCTGCAAACTGTGTGCCCCAAGCTTCCTGGCTGCTGGCTGGCCTCAGTCAATGCAGGTGCCTGGCAGGGGATGTCTGAGGATGGGGGGCCCTCGGGCTCCCACCTTCTCCCTCGCCGCTCCAGCAGCCCCCATTCCGCAGGAGAGCCCCTGCTTCTGTGTCCTCGCTCCTCACTGGAGATATGGCTCCTGCCAGCCAGTCCCTGCTCCCGGGCTTGCACCTCCGCCCCCTGGTCCCCCTCTAGCCGCAGCAGGGGGATTCCGGCTGGGGCGAACGCTGGGGTTGCCTCTTGCTCCCTTTGGCACTGCCAGCCTTTCCAGCCCTGTATCACTAGCTGCCCACATTAGATCCCATCGAACTTCCCAAACAAAGACAGCCCTCTGGGCCTCTGAGCTGCTGACCGCATGAAGCCACCTTCCACCGGCCTCTGCAGACACCTTCACCCCAAAGAATGATTGTCATTGCCCTTGGCCACTTTAATCTTCTTGAACCAAGTCTCACCAGGTAACAATACATAGTCACCTAATCCTTGGTAAGTCTGCAGGATCTGAGAACTGGTGGAATCTCCGCACAGGATGAACCCCCAGACCTGCACCTGAGAAGAAGCCGCATAGGAGGCTCTCCTGGCATCTGGAACCATCCGGGCTTCATCACTGAAACTGAACAGAATCGGGCAACAGAAAATGGGCATTTTCCTAGCAATGCTTTGTCTTCAAAATTCCTCTGCTCCTTTTCTCCCAAAGTGCATGTGGACCCAGGCAAAGGGGAGCCACTGTCCTGGCTGTAAGGAATTCTGAGGCCTGCCTGTCCCTGTGCCTCTCTTCTGCTCCTGGTCCCTTGTTCCCCTTCAGCCCCGGGTCTACTCAAATAAAAGCCACACACCGAGATCCGAGAAGACTGCAGAACCGAAAAGCGACTCCAGAACACAAAATGCCTGCTCCTTTTAGGGTGGGACAGAGACTAGAGGTATTAACCCTCTACTTGTGCCAGACTCCCTTCTTTGGGCCAAGGAAAAGACTGGAAACTTGTAGAGAGCAGGCCAGTCCCTAAAACCCCTGGGCAGTGCGGCTCATGGAGGAATGAGCAATGTCTCCACACTGAATTAGGGCATCTGTTTGTCTTCCAAGGAACCAGGGCCTTAGGGTTTGGGAAATGTAGGTAATAATAGGGCCCGACTGTTGAAGACAGTAGTTCAAAAGGGGAGGGGAATAGGGATGACGGTGACTGAGGGGATGGTGACATTTATTATCTAGCAGGCATTGCAGATGAAGAGAAGGGCAAGTCGTGGTGTCTGTTCTCAAGGAGTGTATCAAATCTTTAGTCAAATAGTTCTGTAGAAACCCCTTCTGTAGTTTCTCCACATACCATTTTATTCAACAAAGTTACTTGATTTATAAAGGACAGAAGCACTAGGGCCCATCGTGAAAACTGCAGAAAGTATTGCCACCGTATAAGACCAGAAAAGAAGCTCGTAAGAAACAGAGCTGTTAACGTACAGTGTCCACAATGAGGAAGCAGTCTACAGCTACTCAGGCGACTCACTGCGGACGTACGGCCTCCAAAACTGTAAAGAAAAAAAAATACATTTGTGTTGTTTTAAAACACGAGGTTTATGGTAATTTGTTGCAGGAACCATTGGAAAAGAATGCAGCATAGGAGCAAGAGGGTCCAAGAACACTGCCATGGGAACTCACGGGGTGACAGGAGGGGGACCTCACCGTGACAACAACCTCAGTGGGTGACAGGAGGGGGACCTCACCATGACAACAGCCTCAGCGGGTGACAGGAGGGGGACCTCACTGCAACAACAGCCTCAGTGGGTGACAGGAGGGGGACCTCACCGCGACAACAGCCTCAGCGGGTGACAGGAGGGGGACCTCACTGCAACAACAGCCTCAGTGGGTGACAGGAGGGGGACCTCACCATGACAACAGCCTCAGCGGGTGACAGGAGGGGGACCTCACCATGACAACAGCCTCAGCGGGTGACAGGAGGGGGACCTCACTGCAACAACAGCCTCAGTGGGTGACAGGAGGGGGACCTCACCGCGACAACAGCCTCAGCGGGTGACAGGAGGGGGACCTCACCATGACAACAGCCTCAGCGGGTGACAGGAGGGGGACCTCACTGCAACAACAGCCTCAGTGGGTGACAGGAGGGGGACCTCACC